TATTCCTTCAGTGCCTGAGATGCTCTCCTCCATGTGCTGAATTCTGTGGTGATACTTACCTTTGTAGTTCCTGCTCTTTTCTCAAAGATCTCCAGCTAGAGTTCTGTGTTTTCTTTATTGATTCTAATTCTGTTTTCATGTCTTGCACCATTTCTTTCATGAATGTGTATTCCTGTCTTTCCATGATGGCCTCTATTTTTTAACTCATTTCCTCCTCGTGTGCCTCCATTTGTGTAGCTAACTTTGCTGGTATTTCTTTGAGAGCTTTGTTCATTTCCTTTTTATTTGCCTCCATTTGTGTGGCTATTTCTTTGAGAGATTTGATTCCTCTTTATGTGCCTCTAATAACTGAATAAGCATAGCTTTAAAATAATTTTCCTGTGTTTCTGATGAATTAGCATATCCATCAATTTTAGGGATTGCTGTTAAAGCCATGATGTACTGATTTTTGTTGGATGTGTTCTCATGCCGACCTCTAGCCATCTGCTTATTCATAACCTTTGCTGTTTGTTTCTGGAGTCCGGAATTCAGTCTTGGTCCATCTGTCTCCGGTGTCTGCAGTATTCTTCAGGAAGATGATAGAGGTCCACCAGTTCGAGAGTGGATGTTGGTCTTTCAGCTATAGCTAAGAGGAATGTTGTGGGTGCATGTACACAAGTGCTGGTGTTTATGTGGAAGAGTGCCTTGAGGGACTAGGTGCTAGAGCATCTAGATGCCTAGAAGGGAGCACTTAAGCACAGGAGGGGATGCTGGTGCTGTTCTTTGTTGCAATGCACATGTGCAGACGCCCTGAAAGCCTCAATGGCCTACAGGCTTGTTGTAGTGTCCTCCTGGTATTCAGATCTGTCTGAATTCCGAAATTGTTTACCTGGACTCCACTGGTAGACCCACAGAACAGGGCCTTCAATGATGGATCCCTGTGTTGCCCACAGTTAGGGTGTGGGTGGGAGGGATCTGATGTCTGGCTGTTAGCATAGAGGAACCCTGGATCTGGGGCTCTACACACACTCACTGGAAGGCACATTCACTAGCTCACTGGCCTAATAAGAAAGCACATGGTTCCCCCTGTTTTGTACTCTCAGATTTGAGGCCACAGGGGCAAATGAGAATGTAGGAGATCCTTCAGCTCAGTGGTGTTCTCTGTTTGCCCACTGGGCAGGGAGACCCATACTTGGGACAGCCACCTCTCCTCTCTCAGTCACTGAGCATGGAGGCTCCTGCTTGGGCTAGCCACAACCGGAGACTTGGGATGCCTGTACAGTTGCCTGCCTCAGCCACCCACCTGAGAGGCCCTTACTGTCCCTGCTTCTGCATTCTCAGTCACCAAACATGGAGAGTCCTGCCTGGGGCAACCAGTGCTGTCTCCACCAAGCAGAGAGGCCCGTGTTTGGGGCAAGGGGAAGTGCAGGGTGGTTTAATATTTACAACTCTCTGTTGCCGGAGACAGCCATGGGTGACCTGAAACCAATCTGTCACAGCTCATGGGTCGCCCAGGAAGTATCAATGTCAATGTTCTGGCTTCAGCTGCCCTTCCACTCACCAACTTCGGAATTTTGGATCCTGTGCCCCTCAGCTAGTGTGCCCTGGTCTTCGCCATCTTGGACTCCAAGCCTGAATCATTTCTTAAAACTGCCCACGAAAGAGGTTTCAGTGGCAGAAAAAGTGATATATAATCTTCATTAAGCTGGTTGACTACAGCTTGACATTTATTTAGAAAGCATTGTGTGTTGTTGTAATAGATCCATGTCATGATAAAGGGGAGGAAAGGACGATATTGGGGGAGATAAACAAAGAGAGAAAGAGTAAGAAGGAAAGAAAAAAGAAAAAGGGTGCAGGAAAGAAACAGGAGAGATTAAAAACTCAAGAGGTATCAGGGCAGAAACAATGTTATCTGTGTAAGAAAAGTACAAGCATCAAGAACCCCACCAGGTCTTCTGCAAATTCCCTTTATATGTCAATGTATCTTAGAATTTGAGCACATTTTCAGACAGGGATTTAAAGAAGAGATTAAGGTGAAAGTAGACTACAAGAATGTACTCTGACCCGACATGATAGATGTCTGCATAAATAATAGTTGGCCACACTAAGAAATTATAAGAATAATGATGGCTGTGGTCTTGAAGCCAAAGAAAGAGACCTACCGAAGCCAATTCTTCCAGCATCTTGACCTTGGAGATAATTGAACTTAACCTCAGAAGCTGTAAAGATTAACTAATCCACCCATGCAAAACAGTTACAGCAGTACCTAGCACAAAATAGGCACTCAAGCAGTGGCAGCTGATGCTGCTGCCCCTGCAGTTACTGATAACAAGCTTAGGAACACCTCAGGAGAACTGATGAAACACATCAATTGCTATTAACAATAGTGTTTCAATGAGAACCTCACAACCAGCTTCCTAAATTCGCTCAGGTATGTGACCAAGCCTCTTGAGGTTTTCATTCTCCTACTTGCTCAATAGTAGGTAGTCTTAACTTCTGCCAAGGGCTCAGGAGGCTACATGGTTTTTACTGAGAACAGAACTGCAAGTGGCAGAAGTGGGTTGGCCAGTGCTCTGGGCCTACTGGCCACCTTCAAACTCAGAAGTACCTGCTCCATTAGTTCAGGGAATGATTTTCTGAGTTGGCCTCACCCTGGTCCTGGTAGCTGAGGGGGCTGAAGAAAATTAAGACAGCAGCTCTCTGGTCACCTGGTCTCTCCTGGGAGCCAGAATCACGTGAAGAGAGGGATTGGATAAGAGATCAGTGGGTGCTAAGCCCTAGCTGTTCCCACCACAGGCAGAGGACAACTTCTGCTTCACAATTTTGAGCCACAGCCAGTAAGGAACAATGGATTACAAAATCAGCTATGTATTTAAAGTACAAGTTTATTCTGTTCATTTGGGTTATCTATGCCATTATGTGATACATTATGCCCGACGTTCTGAGGGCCAAGAGAGGGGTGTTCTGTTGTGATTGTTTGGTGCTGGGCAAACAATCCAGCGTCTTGTATACCAGAAGGACATGTTATCCCATGGAGCTACAGTTGGAGGTTCAAGGCATGAGTTTTGATTCTACAATTTACCAGGAAAAGTCAGGCAAATGATATAATGGGGGACACAGAAGTGAGAACAACAGTACCCATAATGTAACCTATGCCTGCTCATGCCATCTCATAAGAAAACACTGAGCAGAATGAATGCTACCTATTAAATACGAAACATTTCTCACTTCACATAACAGCTCTCATTTCCCATAAACTAAATGGTCCACGAAGAAGGTGCTTTGGGCTCCTTGAAGGAAAGGATCTTAGGTCATCTTGTTAGTATTTTGTAACACAACCTCCTTCTGGGTTACCTAGCAACTTATGATGTCATCATGTGTCATCGGCCAGGTGGCCACACCTGGAAGGCGTGGTTACCTTGCCCCTTAAAAAGGGACAACCCCGACACGTGGTCGTTCTCTTACTCTTACTCTTGCTTTTCTTTTTTTCTTTTCTCTCTCTCTTTCTCTCTCTCTCTCTCTCTCTCATTCTCTCTCTCTTGGGGCACCCCCTCCCCTTTTCTCTCTCTCTCTCTCCATCATGTCCTATTCCCCCCTTCCCTCCAAACCCACCTAATAAACCTCTTGCATAGAAGATCAGTTGACAGCCTCATTCTTTTATAGATCTAACACATCTAAGCTACCATCTAAGTAAATCTGTGATGGAGCCTGAACCTCAATATTTTTAACAAGCAACACCCAGTTGGTGCTTAATTTCAGGCCACAATTTAAATTATATACACTTAGAGTAACTGAATTATGAGTGCCTAACATGGGTTTGCTGGAACAGTCTGAGGAGCCCCACTTTGACATTACTTGGGTATCTGTTTGCTACTGCCAATCAGTTGTTCCAGGAGAAGAACCTGGCACACCTTGTTTACTTGTTTCTTTGTTTCATGGTGTCAGGGAATGGAACTAGAGCTTTGAATATACTAGGCAGATATCCTAGTACTGAGCTAAAGCCATGGCCCAGCTAGCTAATAATCTGATGAGTACAGAGCATATTGAGAAAGTTCAAAAATCATTGCTTTGGATGAACTTTTAATTTCTACTACTGTATTATGCAAATCTACAATAGCAAAACTTACACTACTGAGGAATGTCTATGGAGAGAAGATGATCACATTGTTCAGAAGGAGAAGTCATTTTAGAACTGAGAGGCTCAGACTCTGGGCTTAACTACCACTTAGAATTCAGGTGACATCCTGAATGTCACTTCCTTCCTCTGTGAAACAAAAGGCTGTAATAATTGTCCTGTCTACCTAACTAAAAGAGAGAGAGAGAGAGAGAGAGAGAGAGAGAGATTTTGTAAACTACAAAATCTGTCCAATAGAGGAAATTTCACTGAGTTAATTTATGATGTTCATCTAGAGGGAAAAGTTAAGTCATGAAAGCATTAAGCCACATTACCCAACTTTCTAGGTATTTTTTCCTATTCAATAACTGGCTCGTTAAGTTCTCAGAAGTCACACATGTAAAAGTCTGGACAGTTTACTATTCCTACCATTTTGCAGGCTCCTGCTATACCTGAAGGTGGAGGAAGTGACTTGCTCTGTCCTGTGGATTTGGGTGAATGTAGAAGAAATACACTTGCTCAAGAGGGTCCTTAGTAAAATAGAGAAGGTTTGAGGCTCCCTACCATGTTATTCTACAACATATGCCCCTTAGAACATCTAAAAGTATCAGCCTAAGGGTATGGTCCTAGATCAATTTGTTCCATCAAACCTCCCCAATTTCTATATAAAGTTTTCTTTTTTTCTAGTTCTATTTTTCTAAACCCTTGCTGTAGCATATGTCTAGCAAACTACTCCTGTCCCACAAGCCTCCATTAACCCCAGGAGAGACTGTGTCAACCATCAGCATTAACATACATAAATTAAAATCACAGGCCCTTAGGGGCAATGAGTGAGGAGAAACACTGGATAACAAAGGAGTAAACGTATCCTGATTTACATGTTGCATTTCTAGAAGAAACCACTTACCAGCCGAGTATTCACCACAGGAAATAGCAATGCCAGAAGAGCTCCATTCAACATGTGCATCTGTAACCTAGAGGAGAAAGACAATCAGCAGGTCATGGGAGAGAAGGAAACATTTGAGGCTGAGCTACGCCACGTGGGAGAAGTAACCCTCTGTGTAAAAGAGCCCCAGAGCTCATCTACATGCAAAGTAAATGAAAATCAGTAAACTTTATGTTTATTATGAAACACATACAGGCTCAGAATCCCCAAACACTTCCTGAACAAACTTTGGTTACAACAGCTCATTATATACCAAACTCTGTTTCCTAAACATTCAATCAGCCCCACCCAATGGCTCGAACTGTTGCAGCATTTAAAAATGAGAACTACAACAGCTAGGTGCTCACTTTACTATAGAACCCTATTTATTAGAAGGCGGCTACTTGATTACCAAGACATAGTCAGTCTTTCTGCCAACAACCTGAACAGAAAGGGCTAATACAAGCTAGGGAGATGTCTGTGAGGGTCTGTATTGTCAACCTGACATCTAGGAGGCAAGGTTCCGGGAACACTTGTGAGAAGCTATCTAGAGTAAGGTTAGTTTGAGAATGCCTGTGATGAACTGTCAAAGTTGGGTCAGCTGAGGTGGAAAGACCCATGCTGATTGTGAGCTGGCCCATTCCCTGGGCCCAGGATCCTAGACTGTATTAAAATAGAGATGAAAATTTCTTAACTTATTGCTCCTTGCTTTTGGCTGTGGACGTAATGTAACCAGTTCTCTCAGTGACCTGCTTGCTTGACCTCCCTACACTGAGAGGCTATCACATGGAATTATGAGCCAAGTAAACTCTTTCTCCCTTAGGTTTTTGTCAGTGTATTTCAGCACAGCAACAGACAAAGAAACTAACAGGATCTGACTGCAGTGTGGTGCAGAGTGTTTTCCTGCTGTTCAGCAACACCTCCCACCTTGTGCAGCAAGGTAGGGAGGGCAAACAAGAAAAGCCTCAGGCTTTCTCTGATCTATTTTGTATATGGTAGTTCGTAACTTAAAAGCTAAGCAATGCTGGGGCCTTAGCTTGGTTGTAGAGCACTTGATTAGCCTACACAATACCCTGGGTTCCATCCCTAGCATTACAGAAGAAGGGAGAGGAAGGAAGGAAAAAGAAGAACATCAAGTAATGATAGTGTTTCCCAGACCTAATACCAGACTTATTAAAATGCATGCTACATGTCCTGCCTAAGTCAAGAACAATTAACCCAGAAACAAACCCTTCTTGTGAGGGCTCTGAGGAGGGATTTAAGCAGCTTTCTTCACCATTTCAGGCAAATGGTTCTTATTTGAGAGAGAGGTAAAGGATGAGTTTGTTCCTCCCAGAAAAAAAGCCGATGTGATGGGTTGTAGACATTCATCACTGAACTGTACCTCTCAGACACACAACAGTAAAGGCATGAGCTGAGGAAGAAGAGTCTCTGTCTCTCTCTTGGTCTCTCTCTCTGTCTCTCTCTCTCTCTGTCTCTCTCTCTCTCTTACACACACACACACACACACACACACACACACACACACACACACACA